TTAAGTTTTTGACTCTTTCAGTTAGGCATTTATTCCTACAGCATGCATCGTGAATACGGGACATTGACTCACATCGGCATACTAGACCGTAAGCTGAACATGTCTCTCTCTCTACTAACGTGCTTTACCTTTTCTCTATCTATTTCCTTTATTGTTATAAGCTACATTGTGCACTGGCTGCGTATAGGCGAAATCACATTTATAATGCATGCTGGGGCAGTTCAGAAAGTCTACCCTAATATTTGTTTTCCACACTGGCGTTGTTATTAGCCCTAACAGTTACTCTAGACTTATACTGTTTAGTCTGTATAATATATAATTTAAAAATGTGCAACTTATGCAAATGCCATAACCATGTACATCTTCTTATCTCTCTGTTTGATGCAGCTGTTGTGGCGCACCAAGCAACGTTATCTCTTTGCACGCAATAAATAAAGAATTAAAAAAAAAAAAAAAAAAATTAAAATGTCAATATATAATTATATATTTTTTTCTCCTGTGATCCTACCGCAGGCAGTGTAGTGAGTAGCAGTAATTTCAGCACTATTAGGCCATTATACATGCCTGTTAACTTCTGTTGCACTTAAAGGAACACTATAGTGTTAGGAATACAAAGCTGTATTCCTAATACTTTAGTGTCCCTGTCCCTTATTTAATAGGTCCCCTGGACCTTCCAGCATGAAAAGGGTTAAAACCCCTTTTTACACTTCCGTCTTTCTAGTGTCGAAGCTTCCTTGGTGCTGGCTAGGTCTCCTCCTCCTGTAACATCACTGCCATGGTTGGGGGCCATAATGCACATGCGTCGCAGGTGCCACACACATTAAACCTTCCCTATAGGAAAGCATTGCGTCATGCAAAAAGCGAGGACTTCCAGCGTAATTTCACAAAGTAAAACTCTGTTAGGGAGCAGGAAGCACCTCTAGTAGCTGTCTGGAAGAGGTGGACTTAGCCCTGCAATGTAAACATTGTTTTATATCGCAGCGTTGAATAGACAGGGGACTGCACCCAGACCACTGAGATGAAATGGTCTGGGTGACTGTAGTGTCCCTTTAACTGCACACCCATGCACTAAACGTCTTATAAAAATAAATATGAAACAAATGTGATTATCTAATTCTGTAAATATCTGTTATAAAAGGTAATATTTTATTTATTTTTTGTTTTCATTTGAGGGGCGCATCCTTGTTAATGCTATTTTATAGATTGGGTTGTTGCTTCTTGGACCCTCATCCCATACATTCATCATTTGCACATAGTACATCTTCAATTTGTTTAACATTATAAACCAGATAATTACATAGTGTTAAATAATGCATCGTTAACTGAAACTAAAAGATAAACATTCTTTATTTGCCACCAGTTAAAGTATATGGATAGGGCATCGTTAACATATTTAGGGAGCAATAAGGAATTTGATGATGTGGCAAGGGAAATTGCAAATTTTAAACCAACCTAAAAACTAAGATGTATATGTTTTTATCTGTATTATTATTATTATTACTGGTATTTATATAGCGCCAGCATATTCTGTAGCGCTTTACAATATTACCAGAGGTGGAGATTTAACAATAAGTGCGACAATTACAAAAACTTACAGGATCAATAGGTTGAAGAGGGCCCTGCTCAAACGAGCTTACTGTCTATTGTAGGTGGGGCGTAAAACACAACAGGACAGGAGGTAACAATATTTCTATATGTTTTTCCAGTTCTGCTACTTTAAACTCTATTTCCATAGTAACCCTGATGTATTTTTTTTTGGTAGAATAGGCTCCTTATTAGGCATTCTTTATTTCACAGACAGTGTTAGCAACCTTAAAGGGATCCTATAGTGCAAGGAAAACAACACCGTTTTCCTGGCACTATAGGGTTAGTAGGTCCCACCTCTCCCTCCCGTGGGGCTGAAGGAGTTAAAACCCTTTTCAGACACTTACCTGAAACCAGCGCCCTCGGTGCTGGGTTAGACTCCGTCCACGCACCTCTCCTGCCGACATCAGACCTAATGCGCATGCACGGCAGTGGCCAAGCGCGCATTAGACCTCCCCATAGGAAAGCATTATTCACTGCTTTCCTATGGGGAAAATCTGATGCTGGAGGTCTTCATGCAGAGCGTGAGGACGTCCAGCATCAGATAATGGACCAAAAGTCTGTTTGGATTCTGGAAGCCCTCTAGTGGCTGTCTGGTAGACAGCCACTGAGGGCAGAGTTAGAGTTGCAATGTTAACATTGCAGTTATCTGGAACAGCAATGTTTAACATTGCAGCACAAGGTGCAATAGGGACACAGAACCCAGACCACTTCAATGACCTGAAGTGGTCTGGGTGCCTACAGTGTCCTTTTAAACAGACATTCATGCTCTTTAGGCCTAACAAAATGCACAAGGGTATTGTTTTCAAGATTTCTCCTTTCTTAAATCTTTCAAGGGCACACTTTATGGTGCTGTAAAATGTTTAAGGAACCTGTGCTTTAAGTTGTCTGTATGTGAAGAGGGGGAAGGCACAAGTGACCCTTAAAGTAACACTGCAGATACTATGAACTTTTCATCTCTTTGAATAACATCATGTTCAGTTAAACCATGTTCAAGTAGTTTAAAAGAGAAAAAGGGTCCTCTGCCACCCAGAGTCTGGCCTCCTCTTGAGGTGTGGCTAAGGCAGAGATTAGACACTTCCTTGTAGTCATGCCCATTCATACCATCACTTGGAGTTCTGATAGGCTAAAAGCAGTCAGCTGACACACTCATCCAATCATAGCTGCAAACTGCAGCTCAGGTTAATTCTTCCTCATTTACCAAAGCAATACAGAGGGGATAAGCTGCTGGGGACTCTAGTTTTAAATTAAAACAAACATCAAAAATGGTTTAATGCTGAATGAAATGATGGCAACATGGGACTCCAGACACTATAATTAAATTAACTAGACAAAGCAGATACAGTGCCTACAGTGTCCCAAAAGTTGCCTATATGGCACCCTAAAGCTCAAAAAAATACCTTATCTAATTCCTATTGTGGTTCTTTTTCTTTTTTAAAGGGACATTATATAGTCACCTGAACAACTACAGCTTAATGTTGTTGTTCTGGTGAAGTCAATCCCTGCAGGATTTTTGCTGCAAACACTGCCTTTTCACTGCCTAAGGACACCTCCATCTTCTAGATGGAAGAGATGCTCAACAGCTGAGAGGCTATATTATGTTATTATTTATATAGCGCCAACAAATTCCTCAGTGCTTTACAGTGGGTGGACGAAACATGTAGTTGTAACCAGACAAGTTATGCATGTGAAATAGCCTCCCAATGCTTTCCTATGGGAAAGCACTGGATTGGCCAAGATGGTCAGTTCTGATGATCTAGGTAAGTTGTCTATTTATTTAAGGGGGCAAGGAGGGAAATCCACTGTATTTCTGATCCTATAGTGTTACAGTAGGATAGACAGTATAGATGTTTGAGCTAAAGAGCAAGGTTGTAGAGCTTAATGTGGCATAATGTGCATGGGGCTTTAATAAGTAAACAATAATAAAGTTCTGTTTATAGATATCCCATCTACAGTTTAAATCGGAGTACAGCTCTTTATCTTCCATTTTAGAACTCGTTATGCATATTCTTGGGTTCTGCTTAACATCTGTGTCTTGATCTAATAATATTCTTATTCATGCTGTGATATGTAGCTTGGTTTTCCTGTCTTTTTGCTACATTCCTCTCTTCCAGTTTGCAAACCAGTACTTCAGCAAAGCACCAATGTCATATATTTGGTGCCATTCTTTACATAATTAAGACATTATTATAACTACTATTGGTATTAAAAGATTTTGTAATTTTCTATTTCTGTTGCAAGTACCTAACCCTGAGCAGGCCATATTCACAATTGACACTAGTTCCATTATGGATTTTCTGCAAGGACCTGTGTGTTCTGAGGATTAATATGACACCAAGCTCCACATTCTCCTCTACAAGCATTTTAAAAAAGGTTTGCAGCAGAGCCACATTATGCTGGGTTACATACTTTCCAAATGCGCCGCTCTTGGACAATCTTGTTTTAGCATACACACTTCAACACTTTTTCTTAATTCTTACAAATTTTAGTGCTCATATGCTTAAACTACAGCATGTATATTTATTAAGGAACACTCCAAGCATCTGTGAGCACTACAGCTCGCTGAAGTGGTTATGGTGCCAGGTGTGACTAGGCAGCCCCCCCCTTTGCCTAGGTTTGGCTTATTACCTAGTGTCCACCAAATGCTCCTCTCCTCCACTAACATATAACTTGAAATTCTTAAGCACTTGCGTACTTTAGTTTACCTGAGGTAAGCCATGCAAAGCTAAACTCGCTGACTGGGAGCAGTCCGCTTAGACCCTCAGCCAACTAGCTAAAGCTAACGCAGGTCCCAGCTTATGAACTTCTGATTGTCCAGCGTTCATAGTGGAGGTGGGGAGCAATGTCCAGAGGATACCAGATAAGAAAATGGTTTTACTACTTACAATAGAGGGGCATCATTGCCACTACAGCAAGGTATAGTGTTATATTGTTATAGTGTGTGGAGTGCTGCTTTAGTTTGTGTACATAAAGTTATTTATTTGTTCAAACTTGCTCAACCATATGCATTTCCACAGATAATAGATTTGCTTAAAGATTGTTTTCTACTACCACGTTATTTTTTGTATTCTGTACACCCCATTTTTCCTTGCAATTGGTACCTGTGCGTCTCTCTATCATTAAAGAATGACAGTATCTTGCCCCGTTTTATAATTTACTTATTGATCCAGGTACCTGAATATATCACACAGTTTTAAGTGGTTACAACGTCCATGTGGACACGAAGAATGAAAAAGAAAAAAGTTAAACATTTTTTCTTCAATAACAAGAAATTGGGGGGAAAAAGTATATATGAAAAAAAAAAAAAATTATGTTCTAAATCTCCTCCTGTCCCCTAACTACACTTTAGAGATATTCCATCTAAAAAAAAAATAAACATTTTCAATGTGAAATATTGGAATAAAAGAGCATATGAGCCAGAGTACAGAATATATAAAAGCTTTTTATTTGTGTTTTTTTTACATTAGACCCAGCATTGTCTATAAAAATCAAGGTTCCTGAGGTTTTTGTAATAGTGCAGGTAGGTAAATGAATTCTGAATTCTTTGGTCCGTCTGCCAGAAGTTACATTAACTGTTCCTCACTTTTGGGCATGTTTTTTGAAGATTTCGATATATTCCTGTACATCATCTGGTGAGCCCATGACTATAGGCATTCTTTGGTGAATACTAGTTGGAACTACGTCCAGCACTGGCTCCAGTCCATTAGATGCCATTCCTCCAGCCTTCTCCATGACGTAGGCCATTGGGTTGCACTCATACAGAAGCCTCAACTATAAATGAACAGACAATAAAACAAGTGATGTAAGTAATAAAAAGGGATATTTACAGTTCAAAACACATTTGATAACTAGTCAAAGAGAAATTTATCTACCAACTATAATCTAATTTAATGATGCGATAATTTGAATCCTGTTACGGTTATGTAAAAGCAGGAGACCTCTCAAAAAATCTTAAACAGTTTATTAAACTGAAAGGCTTTACTGTGGACAAAATGTAGAGATCTTGGAGCCTTAGGGAACATTCAACACTAGTTAGACAACTCATCTGCTTAAAAGGTGCAAAATACCCAACATAATGGTTGTGATTACCTTAACCCAGCTTAAAGCATTTTTTCTTCAAGCAATAATGTCCTGTCAAACCAGTTCTCACCTTTCCTTTTGGACTCCTCACATTAGCAGGGTACAGAAAAATTCCTCCGTATACCAGAGTTCGATGCACATCAGCAACCATTGAACCAACATATCTTGCTGCATAAGGTGAACTGCCATCCTTTTAAACAATAAATAAAATGGATAAGGCAAAAAATATATAATTATCTACATCAGGGGTAGTCAACCTTGTTCTACCTTCCGCCCACTAATGCATCTTTCATGATGGAAAAATGTCCTTACCGCCCACCAGTTTTATTTTTTTTTTCATTTTTTTTTTTAGCGCAAGTGCGGAATATTGTTTTAGAAAGGAGGGTGTTTAAAAAAACCAAACAAAAAAAAACCCCATTTTTTAAATGTACGTACATTTATCTTTTTATTTCTACTTTATGCATGTTTATAATGTTTTTAACTTTATAAAGTTTAATGAGAAAACAATAAAGTAAATTGAAATTAGCTTTAACTACTGATTAATCGGATCCTTGAGGCTGATGCTGCGAGACTAAATATTTGATATCTAGTTCGATTTTCGTAAGGAACAAAGGAAGGTCTCCTCTTGTGGTGATACTCAGACGGTTTCCTCATAATGTGATTTCTCATCCGTGCATCAGCTCCCCTCCCTCCTCAATCCCCTCCCTTATTATTGGCCAACAACAATTCTCTCCTTTTCCTTTTTTACAAGTACTCTGCTTCTTTCTCCTATTCTACAAGTACTCTGCTCCTTCTTTTTTGTCCTTTTTTGCAAGTACTCTGCTCCTTCTGTCTCCTATTCTACAAGCACTCTGCTCCTTCTTTCTCCTATTTTCCAAGTACTCCACTCCCTGCTATCGTGTATCCCCCACCTACTCCAACTCCTCCCCTTCCTCTAGCGGCGTGTTACACTCATTCGAATTTGCACACCCGCACTTCCTGCTTACCACTGAGTGCGCGAGAGATGAATAGAGCGTTCAGCTATCTGGATGGAGGGAGGTAGGGACCAGGTTGATGACCCCTGATCTACATTGTATTTTAGCATTACCACAATTGCCCTAAATTTCTGATTACAAAACCACATGTATATGTGAAATTAATTTGGTTGTTGAAAGCTCGGGGTTAAATATTGACCATACTGCCCAGTGATATACAATGTCAATTAGTATACAGACCCTGGGCCCCTGTCAGGGTTTCGACCCTACAGGACTATGAATGAAATTATATCACACAACATCACATAATACTCACTTCAGGGAATTTTTTCTTCTGCAGGTATTCTGTAACAGCACCATCAAAGTATTTGGCATAGCCCTCATTAAGACTGTAAATATTGCCCTTCTTTTTAATCGTCATATTTTTATCGACCAAAATGAATTCGCCAATTGCCTGGGGATAAGAGGGAGATTTAGTTTCCTTTAATAAAAACAGAAATTATAACAGTATTCTAGTCCATGTGTGATCAATTATTTTATTTAAGAAAACAAACACAAAATAAATGAACTATAATATTCAATACATATTTATTATTTAGACTATTTTATATACTAGAAAAAGTGGTTCCATGATTTTAGGCGGTCACCCATGAAAAGATGAAGGCTGTAGTAAGGAGCATATGCAACACAAAGTAGTAATTTAAATTTGTACTAATTAACACACTGGGCATTACATATACAAATTGTGACATTTGCTGTCATGTAGAAGTTAGTTTTGTGCACATGCACCATTTTCTTTATAAATTGGTGCTTTTTTTTGTTCCTGCCTTTTCTGTGCTGCACCCAAATAATATGGTATTAAGTTTATTTTTATTCCTCTTTTGGACTTTTTGCTATTCTCTCTCCCCGATTGTAATTAAATTGGACCATGGGCAAAGGACAATAGGTTTGGATGCCACCACCTGCACTATAGTACTCGTGTTTAAAAAAAAAAAAAAAATAGATTTATTGAATAGCAGTCTTTTAGATTTACTTTTGTTTTTGCAAACTTGTTAGTAATAAACTTTAAATAACACTCACAGGATCGAGCATGAAACCGTTGACGCCACATTCCATAGCTAAAACAATCATCGTAGCACTGCCATATAATGCGTAGCCTGCAGCTATAATATTACGGCCTGGTTGCAAAGCATCATTTTCAGAGGGTTCACCGTCGCTAGTCTGGAAAAGACAGACACTTTTTTAAAATCAAATTCAACAAACCATATGGAAATGCCAACAATCTGTTTATGATTTTTTTTTTTTTTTGTAGCAACACTGACAAGATATATCACTGCATAGAAATCATACTGAAAACCCAGCACTCTGTATCTAAAAAGCAATTTGTACCTAGAAACTGTACATTTTTCTAACAGTTTATTAGTGTGTAAATGTGAGGCATTTGAGTTTGTCGGCTTTAGCTTTTGGCAGGGAACATCTGGCTTGAAGATACTGCTGCTCTGTATTGTATGAGCTTTGCGCTGTGGAAGTTGGGCTGACGTTAGGTTACATTGTTAAATCAATTTAAAGGAACACTATAGTGTCTGTAATACAAACTGCATTCCTGAAACTATAGGCCCCCAGTTCCCCTAGCATCGCATCTCCCTTTTCTATGGAGAGAGTTCAGCGCCTCCATGCAGAGCGTAGAGACACTGTACATGGGTGCTGCACACTATGCAGTACAGACACAGAAAGCATCTCTAATGGCCGTCTGAGTGATTGTCACTAGAGAAGTTAATAAGCAGCAATGTAAGCACTGCCTTTTTCATTAAGCTGTATTGGTTCTGGTGACTATAGTGTCCCTTTAATTATCTCTTGAGTAAAATAAAATGTTATTTAAAATAACCATGCTTATTTTGTACAGTTATTTAACAAAAGCTTTGTGCTTTTATTTACTCCAAATTCAAACTGCTTAACTACCTAATATTATTGTCCTTTCAAACTTGCACCATATATTCTATTTGGGAGGAGTTCTGATGTTTTCTCACAGAAATCAAACACATACAGTAAGATGTATACTCAAACATATGGTAATGCATCTCATTGAAATAGACCCAACTATTAGCGTGTACCCTTTCCTCCTCTAAATTTGGTTACAGAATAGCCATTTGTACAAGTGCAATACTGTGTTTGTTCATGAATAAGAAAGCTTACCTTTTTGTAGATGGCAAAGATTGTCCCAATAGAGACAAGGCAGTCGATGTTCGAGGAACCATCAAGTGGGTCAAAGCAGACAATATACTTACCCTAAAATGATATGTTAAAGTTAACAACGCTAGCAGTGTAAATATAGTCAATGTATTTTGTTGTGTTCATACTTTTCCCTGCTAAACTGATATAAAAAAAAAAAAAAATGTAGTTTGGTATTAATCCCCAAATCAACACGATCTCTAAGGTAATATAGTATAAATAACACACCATGCACTTAGTGTGGGATGCTGTACATAAATATGTGTATGAGTTAGAATAGAGCATTTTCATTCGATGATTCCTAGATCATGGGTCAGAATCCAGAATTGGTTCACAAGCTATTTTAGTGGAACATCATATTCATAAGGCCCCTGGCAACTGTATCACCAGTGCACTGCAGACCCCTTAAATAGTAGCAAGAGTGCAGCTAAAGTGTTTTACAGAATGGGTTCATTTATTGGTCATTTTAAAATTAAAGACTGGATCTACAATGTTATGCCAAGTGTGTAATATGGGTTCCTGTTATAAAAGGTTAAGAACCACAGTCTAAGACATTAAATGCAGTGTAATATAGGGGATGTTTATGAATGCATGATACATGAGGAGGTCATGTTGTTGGTGTAAAACAGTGCATTTTCACACACTAAATTAGGGACTGAATAACCCAATATTGGTGGGGAGGATTTTACAACAGTAGCACACTATGATATTACAAAACCATTGGCACACAATGGAAACCCTCAACCAACTTTTGTGAGGAACCATATTCACTGTTACTTAACACATAACCCAACAGGAAAAGTTACAAGTTGTTTTTCAAACTAGATATTGCCTAAACATAATTACATCACTGCAAGACCACAAACACAATACTGAAGAAACTTCCTAAACATAGATAGCTAAACTTACCGGGCTCTGTATACAGATCCCTGAAGCAAAGGGCAAAAGAAAATGAATACATAATGTTAGCTTCCAGAGCTTGTAAAGGGTGGTGGAACTGGTGTCAAAGAACTGTTAGCAATAAACTTAACACTACAAGAGAACTAGGCTATTCTGGCAACAGGTGGATGAACTAGAGAGGCCATCTGCACCATTCCTGCATTCTTTGGCCATCTACCTCAGATTGATAAACGTTTTAACCCCTTAAGGACCAAACTTCTGGAATAAAAGGGAATCATGACATGACATACATGTCATGTCTCCTTAAGGGGTTAAAACCCATCTACTGCAAAACCAAAATGTGCACATTTGTGTGCGGCTAAGGCCTTTTGCAATAATAAAATGTTATTACACAAAAACAAATTCCATGATAAATTACTAAAGTGATGTATAAATGGTGTATGTGTTCACAAAGTGTACGTACCCTTCTCTCAGGCTCCACAATGAGGGCATGCGGGTCTTCTTCTGACACAAGAACACAGCTACTGTATGACGCTTTCAAGGTGTTGATGACCAAGTCATTTGAAAGAACATCCAGCTTTTTCACTTGGTCTCCTGTCACATTTGTGGATCCAGCAATGCCATAGCTAAAGAAAGCATTAAATGTGAATTTTTAATACATTTTGCTAATGGTGTAAAAAAAAAAAAAGCCCACAAACAAAGCCTTCTCTTTCTTTTCACTATCAAGTATGGCTACACAGACCCTGTGTTAACACAAACATTCTAACAGGTGGTCATTAATGGGGATAATCATGAGAAATTTGAGCAGTCACCAACTTGCACAATAATGTCCCTTAAGTAAATATTTTTTCCTTTTTAGATGCAATTTATAGGTTAAATTATCTATTAGTTCAGGTCAGCCAACATTCTACACACCAAGGACTGAAAGATTGCCCTATGTTTAGCCACACTGAAATCAGGATCTACACCTCCACCCTTTTAATACGGATGCCCTAAAGTGGCATGTGAATCAACTATAAACCATGTTAGAGGGCCATGCTTGAAATTTTACTTTAATGATTATTTATATGTAGATAGCCATTCATTAATCATGGGCAATCTCAATGCAATTGCTTTGCAACAGCATATCAATTCTACATACAAGGAAGCACTTTTGATGTAATGCCCTACCTATAACATGTAAAATTGATTGTGTTGAGGCAATCTAGCTCAGCCTCTTAGAAGTAGAGATAATTTCAAACTATTGGACGCAAGGGCCAGAAATTCATCAAAGTCACAGCAATAGTATAAAAAAGATAAACAGTAGTCAGCATATATTTACAATTAGCAGAAGAGCACGACACATATATGGGTAAAAATGTTTCCCTTGTCGTGTGCTTGTAGCCATTAAATTGTGAAAAGAAGAGGTTTCATCAAGGTCAATCAAAAAAAGTGCTAAGATTACTATCCAAGCGGACGAGAAAACAGACATTCAGCCAGCTTCATTGTCATAAAGGGCAGTTTCTCAGAAAGGTTATTACTTCATAACTGCTTTATTAGCATATCGTCACTCGATGCGTGAACTACAGCTGGAGTAACTTGGAAATCTCTGTACAGGACTATGGTATAGGACAGTGCTTTATAGCAGCTCTGTCACTTTGTAGATTTTGTTGTTAAATTAATCTTTGGAAAAAAAATAAAATATAATTTTTGTCCCTCTGTATCTCCTTGCTTCTTTGTTTTTAATTAAATTCACCTTAGTTTTTAGTTATACATAAGGAACATAGTGACACATTTTTCTTATGGGGAACATGATTTCTTTTGGCAATGGGCGGAGCGTAAGCAAAGTTCCATTTCATTTGGTAAAGCAAATTTACTCACAATACATCAGTAAACTCAATCAAACAGGAAAAGGCAAACTGCAGACATCATGGACAGAGAAAAAACAAAATGGCAGCACCCAGATATTGAGATTATAGGGTAATTAAGAAAAGATAATAGATAAAAGCACGTGGCAATGGGTGTTAGCGTAATCATTAAGGTACAAGGGGCATAAGGAAATGCAAACTTAAATAAAAAAAGTTCCACATTTAAAAATTGCTTTTAACCAAGTTTTATAAATAAAAACTTGACACGGACAGGCATTCAAAATGTTGAATTATCTTTGTATTCACATTGAATTCCTGACAATAATAAACCAGAGGAGTATATTTTTGGTTCTATAATGGATAGAAATTGCTGCTCACAATGAGCAACTGAATGTGTGGTGTGGAAAGTCAGGTATCTGTGTTCCTTGTCTAAGTTTCACAGGGTCACTGACCTTTAGGAAAACAAGACTGACTAGGCATTTATCTAATTGTCTGTGTTAGTGATTGGCCAGGCAGGAACAACACCCCTTAGTATTGGTGTCAAATTAAGATACAAAGAGCATGCTGTGTGATTTTATTGATTAAATGGAAAATACATCTGGTAGCTCTTAAGCATCAAAGTTTGCATAGCACTAACTGCATTTGCACTATATGCAGCAAGGCCTCCCCTGCATTGTATAAATCCTTCAGTACATATTCTTATTCACCATCCCCCTTGCTAAAAAGTCATAAGGTTACTGGGTGAAACAGTCAGCTGAAACAGCTTTGTGTATTAAACAGACACACGTATTAGGATTTATTTTTCTACTAAACACTAAACTAGTAACCAAGTTATAATTTTAGGCTGGAAAAATAGTGCATCTTAAAACACTGGTTATGAGTCCAGTGAGTTCATACAGCCACACTTCCAGAGGATTCAATTATTCAGAAAGTGAATCATTAATCTTAAGAATTCTTATTAATTTATTTCTTTAGAAAAATAATGTATGGGGAGGAAAAGTTAGACTTTTGGTTTGTTGATTTCCAATGCCTTTTGTTCAGATGGTACCTCTTTTTTGTTTGGGTCTCATTACAAGCCACCTGGTTAATATTTGGCAAAGTAACATGAGGAAAAGCATGCAGTAAAGGAATCGAGATATGAGAAATAATTAGTGAAACTATTATGTTCTGGATAAGCAAAATAAAAATTGGTCATGAACAGGATTTTTATTAATGTTATTTACATTGTAGGATTTTAGAAAAGAATAATCTCTTCTAAATCATTAGAGATTATGCCTCTAAACTGAAAGCAGCAAGGTGGGTTATTAGTCTAGATAGAGCTCAATACCTTATAGTGCCAAGGGAGGTTAATACTTAATAAATTTGGGATAAGTTTGTTGGCAGACACATTGAGCAAACATATCATGCTCCTGCTACTACAAGACTTATCAGCACACTCTTCCATTTATCTGCGGAGTACAAAAACCTCAACTCTGTACACTGCACCCTGTATGTACATATGACTAGCAAATACCTGACCACTCATCCTTTCTTATATTATGATATAACAGAAAAACAAATGTAGAAAGAAAATACAGTAAAAGTTGCCAGACTTGTGTGTACACACCTAAGTAATTAACAATTCTCTTTTAGGGGTGTGGCTCTAGGGGTGTCCAGAGGACAAGTTTTTTTGTGATACATGTTTGTTGAAAACCTCACCTACTAATCTAATGTTTGTTTATCTACCCAAAAAAAAAAAAAATTAAAAAAATTAGTTATTAACCCCTTAAGGACACAGCTTCAGAAGCTAATGACACAAGCAATTTTTGCATTTTCTTGCTGTATGCATTCAACTGCAATTAGCATCTCTATCGTTTATTGCACCGACACATATTATATACTGTTTTTTTAAAGGACAGAAAGGGCTTTAATTTGATGTAACATATACATACATATACACACACACACACACACACACACATATATATATATACACATATACACACACACACACTTATTTATTATTTTTTTTTAAAAATGTGTTTTTTTGCACAGTTTTTGCAATAATAATGAGTGCCTAATTAGTGCAGGTTAAATTACAAATAAATTAATTTAGTTGTTCTGATTTACAGAATATATAATGTGTCTGAGATTTTAAGTTATTTTATGGTAGTTACAGGTCACAAAGCACAAGGAGTAAAATAAACTTTTAATGTGGAGCCATTTTAGAATTTGGTATGTTTGTCTTGTAAGCTTAATAGCCATAAAAGAAAACAAAATTGCCACACAAAAGTATATATTATATAAAGTAGACTTCACAGGCTATTTACCTAGGGTTCTTTTGACACTTTCTACGTAGCCATTTCACCGCCAACCTCTGCTAAATATTGGAGTAAAATTTTATTTTTGGGGGGTTTTGGCACACAAACTTATAACAAAGAACTTCTCATGTGTATTTTGTAAAGATGGTGTGTGCTATTCCTGTACAAATTTTGATTTTGTGTTCAGTTACTTCTGCGGAGTACAACAATACCCCCATTGTATGTCTTTGACACTATTTCGTGAAGCTACAGTGCCATATAGGAGACCTGTCCGTTTCAACATTTACAGTAGAATTTTGAGAGGCGGATTTAATGGGCCTATGCTTCAATTTGGGGTATTATAGCAGTTTGACTGTTCAAAAAAATCCCACAAAGGCCTACCATTTGTAAAATTAGACACTCCAGTGTATCTCATATGGCGCATATTGTGCCTTAACATGCCCCCATTTATTCACCTATATATGCCAAAGTATGTTGTAAAATATAATTTTGGGCATTTTTTACATATGGATTACATTTTTGCTGGGCATTTTGTACATTTCATATGTGCCACTAAGTTTAAACCCCCATATTATGCTCAGCTAAGTCTTCTGAGTAAAACAATATGCCCAATGTATGACCTAGACACTATTTTGTGAAGTTACACTGCTGTAAAAGAGAAGTGACAAGTTAAGATTTTTAAAGGACCACTATAGTGCCAGGAAAACATACTCGTTTTCCTGGCACTATAGTGCCCTGAGGGTGCCCCCACCCTCAGGGACCCCCTCCCGCCCGGCTCTGGAAAGGGGAAAGGGGTAAAAACTTACCTTTTTCCAGCGCTGGGCGGGGAGCTCTCTGCCTCCGATCCTCCTCCTGGGCTGAATGCGCACGCGCGGCAAGAGCTGCGCGCGCATTCAGCCCGTCGCATAGGAAAGCATTTACAATGCTTTCCTATGGACGCTTGCGTGCTCTCACTGTGAAAATCACAGTGAGAAGCACGCAAGCGCCTCTAGTGGCTGTCAATGAGACAGCCACTAGAGGAAATAGGGGGAAGGCTTAACCCATTCATAAACATAGCAGTTTCTCTGAAACTGCTATGTTTATGAAAAAATGGGTTAACCCTAGAAGGACCTGGCACCCAGACCACTTCATTAAGCTGAAGTGGTCTGGGTGCCTAGAGTGGTCCTTTAAGTGTGAATTTTCATGGAGGGTTTTGATGCGTCAGTGTTCCACTTTGGAGCACTTGAGCAGGCTACATATTACAACTACACCATAAAGGCATACCATTTCTTAAAGAACACATCCCAGGGTATTTCAAAAGGCATTTTTTGAACGTTAGCGTGGGATAGTTTTTCTGCTAGCTTGTGCCAAGTGTAGTGGTAATAAGCGTTTTTTTTGCCTTTTTGACACACAAAGTGAGTTTGCACAGTATATTTTGCAAATCATATGTGTGCTACGACTGTATACTACTTCATATGTTGCTCAGCTATGTCGGCTGAGTACAGCAATACCCCCGTATGTACCTTTGCCAGGTATATGTGGATATTGAAGGGGCACATTTGAGACACAGCCATTCCAGTTTTTTTTCAAACTTTGAATTTTTACCCTGTGTCCATGTCCCATTTTAGAGTATTTTACCAGGCTATATAATCCAATTACACCATAAAGGCATACCATTTCTTAAAGACATCCCAGGGTAATTCAAAAGGCCTATTTTGAACCTTAGCGTGGGATCATTTTTCCGCTAGCTTGTACCAAGTGTAGTGGTAAAGAGCATTTTTTTACTTTGTAAAACTTTTTTTACTTTGTAAAACCAGTTTTTAAACTTTTTTTTTTTTACTTATTAAATGTTTTACACTTTCTTAACTTTTTTACACTTAAATTTTTTTTTTTACTTTTCCTTTACAGTTAACCCCTAACTAGCAGTAAGCAGCACTAATAGTAAATTCCCCCCTTTCCCATAACTCCCACCCACTCCAGCTAGCAAAATATATATAATTATAAAATATTTTAATTAAATAAATCCTCAGGTGTTAAAAAAAATAAAAATCAGATGACATTAAAATGTATACCCTGCCAATTGATCACTGTAGTCAGTGATCAATTGGCAGGGAAGGGGTTAATTTTATTAAAGCAGGGGAAAGAGGGGGTGGGATTTAACTTTATTTTATTTTATTTTCACACAGGGAGAAGAGGATCAGCTCTGATCCGTCTCCCTGCACTTCACACAGAACCCGGGAGGTAAGTACACTGAGCACATGTGCTGGGGCAGCCTGATCGTGTGCTCCCGGTCTGCCTCTAATACAAAGGCAGACCGGAGCACCGTTAACCCCGCGATCTGGGGTTAACTTTAGTAAATGACGTAAATTTTCCGTCAACAGTCCTTAACTGAAGGACAAGGTTGACGAAAAATTTCCGTCTGCGGTCGGGAAGGGGTTAAGCAAAGGATTGCAGCCAAGGTAGAAAATGGACTGATGGCTATTGGGTTTCTCCAAAATATGGACTGATATACAAAATCGATGACTATGAGGTATCATGGCACTATGACAGAGAAGTAAGGTTATATTTGGGCACTTGGAGCAAAGGGCAATTGTTTAATCATCGATTATTACTTTGCCCCAAATACTCTCTGTCCTGTAAACCACACAATGGTACAATGTATCAGCCATATATCCCAAGTAGGTAACTATCTATATTAAAGACTAGTTATCAGTAGCAAAACAACTGGCTAAATTCTGTATATTTTGCAGTCTACCATTAAGTTTGGCAGATAACTATTTTATTTTGAAGATGATTGTAATGGAATTTAGAGCATAACTTTCCATTCCAACACTTGGTTTAGGATTGCAGAGAGAATCTAATAATCCATTGTTTAAAAGCTGCAGAGAGCATGAAAACAACAAAGGCAATTGGAGGAGCCCTATCCCACACTCATACAATTAAAAATGTATCCAAATGGCTTTGAATAATTTATGGGACACTTGTCTAAGCACCATACACACTACACCTCAGTGGAATGGGTATGCCATATAATTTGTTTTTGTCAAATCATTTTTGAATGGTTTGAAAAACAACAGACCAATCTTCCTGGCACCCAGGTTTGTAATGTGAAATTTATGTTTCTGTATTAGCCAGCTTAGTTGCATCCACCTAGCAATTATTGGCTGAGAGCTTTGGGAGAAGTGTACTTCCAGAGCCCCCGCAAATTACAAATATTTATATAGCACCAACATATTCGCAGGGCTGTGACATATGTACCCATCACTGCTCATTGCCTTAATTCTTAATTTAGAGATTATTGACACCTAGGGAAAAACCAACTGAATTTAAAATCATATCTAAGGTTAATTTTGAACTTTACTTCTAGGGTTAGAATAAGAGAGGCTAAATTAGTTCCTAACCCTACTTTTAACCCTCACGTAACCCTAAATGTCACTCTAGTACATTTAGTGAATGTCCTAACTATGATGCGAGTTTGACACACCAGTTTTACTTACCTTGCAGGACGAGTTACGATGCTAGCTGATGTCTTAGTGACAGATTTTGCGCATGCTCGTAGCGTGTATCAGATTTCTGGACCCATCACCACGCAAGTGCAGCACAGGCCATACATGATGCCACTCCACCGGATGTGACGCGGCTGCGCCAGACATTGTGTGGGTCAAGATTCTGACAGAACACCAGACTTGCTAATGTTAATTCTGTGCATATTCTATTCACAGTTTTATTAATTAACTGAGAGTGATCAGCTGATTCTCTCAGCCAATGAATTAATGTCAGCATCGGCTTTTGGCTTATGCAGCTCTGTCGCTTTTTTTTGCAACTCAGTGGCCTGTGGGATAAAGAGAAGTGGCAAACCATTGTAAAACAATTTCCTTTTAATGGGAACAGTGGACTGTAGTGGTCATGAGGCTTTGAGTATAGTGACACTATGCTAACTTCAATGGAAGGAAACAATTACAGTGCCTACAGTGTCCTTTTAAATGTACTTCCATCCCACAGCCCAGACCTGGAAGTAGGAAGCAGTGGGGTACTTTATTCCCCGACACTGATTTTCAACTCTTCACCCATTGGCATTAAGTGAGGTCATGGGGAGACCCACCACCAGATAACCTCGTATTAAATGATTAAAAGCCTAATTCAGCATCAAAGGGGATTGTGGGAAAGAGCAACAGTGCTGCTGCTTAACACTTTTTGGTTTTTAAAATTTAAAAGTCCTATTATTCAGCCAATTTCTCATATTTTTTCTATCAATCTCCTGTCCCACAATCCAGGTGATGGGAGCTTCACCCATGGCAGGCAGGTGAGTTGTTAAAGGGACACTATAGTCACCTGAACAACTTTAGCTTAATGAATAAAGCAGTTTTAGTGTATAGATCATTACCCTGCAATTTCACTGCTCAATTCACTGTCATTTAGGAGTTAAATCACTTTGTTTCTGTTTATGCAGCCCTAGCCACACCTCCCCTGGCTATGATTGACAGAGCCTGCATGAAAAAAAAACTGGTTTCACTTTCAAACAGATGTAATTTACCTTAAATAATTGTATCTCAATCTCTAAATTGAACTTTAATCACATACAGGAGGCTCTTGCAGGGTCTAGCAAGCTATTAACATAGCAGGGGATAAGAAAATCTTAATTAAACAGAACTTGCAATAAAGAAAGCCTAAATAGGGCTCTCTTTACAGGAAGTGTTTATGGAAGGCTGTGCAAGTCACATGCAGGGAGGTGTGACTAAGGTTCATAAACAAAGGGATTTAACTCCTAAATGGCAGAGGATTGAGCAGTGAGGCTGCAGGGGCATGTTCTATACACCAAAACTGCTTCATTAAGCTAAAGTTGTTCAGGTGACTATAGTGTCCCTTTAACAACTCACCTGCCTGCCATGGGTAAGGGGTTAAAAAAGTTATAATATTTATCAAAGTACTGGAAGTACTCAGTTTAACCTGGTTAATAGGAACAATATTAGTGGTAGAAACAGGGGGAGGGGGACGGGCGGAGAAGAGAGAGAGAGCGAGAGACACACACAAAAACTCCCTGGTTGGTCCCACAGAGAGTATTACACATAACCCGGCCACACACAATCATAACTAGATTATGATATCCAGCAATGCCACAGCAGCCAGTGAGTTGCCATAGGTGGCAGACTCACAGCTCTGTAGTTGGTTGGGGACTGGGCTGAAAGCAGGAAGATAGTCACAGTAGCATCACCTCCCTATAGAATCTGTGCTGAATACAATCAGGATGTGTGACGTCACACATAGAATGTGTATACAGAACACTGTGTCTCTGGGATGACCAGTTATTACTGCACTGCGAGTACAGACACTGGGCTCACAGGTAACCAGTGACACTTCGGCTGCTGGCCGAGTCCCATGGGAGTTGTAATAGAGGTAGTAGCCCTGTGCATACTCACAGATGGGCCAAGCCAGCCTTGCGCACTGCCGATGAGATGGCTTTGACAGCCGTGCACAGGGAGTTGAGCAGTTGGGTCATCTCTCCGGTGCCCTTGGCTTTCCTGCCCTCCTCCATCACGAAGCGGGTCAAGGTGATGACATCAGTGTCAAAGGGAGCCTGGTCCGACATGCTGGCTGCAGGTGGGGGTGTACACAGGGCGGTAGGAAGGAGACGGTGTCTGTCGGCTGCAGAATAGACTAGGGTCAGCACTCTCCTTACACTCTGTCCCTCTTATAAAGGCGGACACTCCTTGCCTGGGATCTGCCACTCAGAGCAGGCTGGCTGTGGGTGTGTGCTGGGGGCAGAGTCAGCCTGGGCTCCAATCTGCAGCTAGCACACATACAAAGTACACACCATCATTGCTGTATACTGACTGAGGTGAAGTGAAACATAAACTTGTGAATTTGTATACTGGTCAAAGGGCAGAGTAAAGGCTCACTGACAGAAAGGGAAAACATGCTGTTCTGTAGATACAGGTCTCCTGCTGAGCACTGTGCAATGCAAGGCTTGCTATTTGGATACTGCAAGAACCAGGCTGGGATATGTGACATGTTGTATTTATTCATTGTAAAAAGATTATGTATTAAAACATGCAAAATAAATAAATGTACTTCCATGGCAATTTACTGCAAACCCACAAGATATGCAGGTTTTGCAGTGAGCTCTTTTCATATCAAACCTTTTACACCTGGGCTAGGCAACCTTTCAGTGGCCCTATTTTTTTTTTCTAAAGCAAAATTAATGTAAGTTGCAGAACTCTGCTTGTGTTATGTATAGGTGCAGCGGATCTTTTGTGTATACAGTTGTAATAAGGGCCGGACTGGGGAAAAAATTTGGGCCGAGCATTTTTTAATCACAGCGGCCCACTGAGAAGAGGGCGGGACCAGATAGGGTGTGTTTTGTCATCAATAATGACAAGCACACCTAATCTCAAAGTGATCATGTTGGTTCAATGTCCTTCCAGGGCAGACCATACGTAGAGCTCTGCTGAAGAAGTAAGTAGAAGTATAGATCAGGGCGTTGCCGTGCATGTGATCTATTTGGATTTTGCCAAGGCATTTGATACAGTTCCACACAATTAATTAGTGTTCAAACTCAAGGAAATCGGTCTAGATGAAAATGCTTGTTCTTGGGTAGAACATTGGCTTAAAAACAGAGTACAAAGAGTTGTCATTAATGGTAAATTTTCAAGCTGGACAGAGGTGGCAAGTGGTGTCCCTCAGGGGTCTGTTCTGGGACCCCTTCTATTTACCATGTTTATAAATGATCTTGAAGACAGCATTGAAAGCAGTGGCGTCGCTAGGGGGGGCCAGAGGGGGCCATGGCCCCCCCTACATCATGCTGTGCCCCCCCTTGGGCCCCCCCAAATGCCAGCAACTTGCTGGCCATGGGATTCCCTCGGACTGTTACAGCCTGTTACAGCCCGAGGGAATGCAGTGCTGAGGTGCTGGAGGCTGTCTGTGGCCGGAGGGAGCACTGATTGGCTCCCCGGCAAGGCCCCGCCCCCAAACGAAGCCCCGCCTCCCGCCGATAAGCCCCGCCCCCGCCGTAAAGCAGCAGCCCATGCTGCTTCAGAAAATGGCTGCCTGACCCCCAGCAACAGCCTCCAGTGACAGGTAGGCTGGGGGGGGGGCCCACACACACTGCCCCCATACTGCCCCATACACACACACTGCCCCCCATACTGCCCCATACACACACATTGCCCCCCATACTGCCCCATACACACATTGCCCCCCCATACTGCCCCATACACAC